CAGGGCGGCCGCTGTCGGTGCGGCTCGCGGTGGACTGTCCCGCTGGCCCGCGTGTCCTCGTCTGCACGCTCCTCTGCGGGCGCTTTTTCCACTGGACTCTGCCCGGAACTGAGGCTGCGGGAACCCGCAGAGCCCCCTAACCGGGGACTCTGGGAAACTCGGGTGTCCGGCTTCATTTGAAAAACGGCGATTCGGGCTTGTGGCCCGCGGGGTGTCCTCGTGAGACTGCAGGAGTCGCTTCCTTTGGGGGCTTAAACAGCCTTGGAAATGTCGGGCCCAGCTTCTGTTAGCCTGTTAAAGTATGCTGCTGTCTGTCCCCTCAGCTTTGCACGTTTTGAAACTCTCCATGGTCAGGGGAAGGCGGGCTTCGATCACAGCTGCTCTCTAGATGAGAAATGTGTGGACCCAGCGCAGCTCCCGAGGTCCGACTTCAGCGTGTACACAATTCACACCACGTGCCTAGTGTGATTCTTGTGCAGATGCTCATGTTTAAAGCAGTTTTAAGCAAGAAAGCTCAGTGTCATACTGTCAGTCTGTCCTTTCCCATTTATGCTTTTACCATTTCAGAAGTAGCCCCTGACGCCTTCCTTTGGGAAGTATTGGAGGCTCTGCAGTAAGGCTGTTGAATGACTAAAAAAAATCACTCATTGTCCAACAGGGGAAGAGAGCTGAGCTGAATGACTGATGTGCCTGTAAATGTAGGTTGTCAGGAAGACAGCTCAAAGAAGGGACTTGGAAAAATCCCACAGGGCTTGTGAAATATTGTTGTAAATAATACTTAGTTTGATGATTGGCATTTCTTCTAACAGGAAAATGCTAAATGGGAATAATAATAATTGTCAAGATGTGTTGAGTGCCTGCTGTGTGCCAGAAACTCTTTAAGAGGTTCCTTACACTGATTTACATAATTCTCATGGCAGTCCTCTGATGTGGTCAGTACTATTAGCCATAGGTTACAGATGAGGAAACCGAGGCACAGAGACAGCAAGTAACTTAAGATCACACAGAGTGAGGTAGAAGCGAGGTCAGTGTTCACATAGGGGGTGGCCTGGGTTTGAGAGATCTAGTGTGTCTTATCATTGACTGTTTACAGTGTCTACTTAAATTTGCTGCTTTATTTGTGGTCTCAAGGTGTATTTCTGAGAAAATGAAAATAATTTTAGCCAACGATACACATGAATGTGTTTGTGTTGACTGCTAGTTTGTGTTACTCGTTATTGTGTGTTTGTTCCATCTCCACTGTAGGATAATTGATCGTTTTCTTTTGATTGTGATAAGAAAAATGGAAAGTATTTCTGATTTTCCATAGAGTGAGTCATTTATCCAATAGAAACTTAACATAATTGAGCTTTTTCATGCTTGAGCTGGACCTGGTCATGTGTTTATTTTCCTTTTTTCTTACTAAATGCTTTTAAATCAAAAGGATTGACCATGTAAAGGCTAACTTGCTCATCGCTTCCCCCCTCCCAAGATTCTTTAAATTTTCAGATGATTTCTTCAGAACAAAATAAAAATTGATTCTTAACACTTCTGAAATACTTTATATTAAATATTTTATATATTTATATTGATTTTACTGTAAAATTAGTAACTTTTCACAAAAATGTGTTAATTATCCACCTTAGAAATAGGATGTTATTTCCCAGTCCAGCTAATTTGGTGAGAAACTGCCCAATACTGGGGGTGACAGGAGCTTCTGCATTACCTGTGAAATAGGTGGTGGTGTTTTTTTAAAGATAGGTTCTCTCAGAAAAGTTGACTGACATGTCCAGAGCTGTTCATCATTTAAGGTGGTATGAGCTGGGATTCACATTCAGGCTGTTCACAGTCTTACTGCTTCGTGATTACAACTTGTTTGGAATTAAACAATTCTGTAGTGTCAACATAGATGTACAAGCCTAGGTCGTTTTAAACTGTTCTCATTGGCTCTGTGTCAGAGGCAGGGAGCCTGTGATAATGCCATCTCGACTCATTCTGGTTGGAGAAACAGATACACGGACCAAAAGTCAGGACGGGACTGCTTACTGGAAGTATTTGGAGCCTTCACGTTATAGGGCACGTATGCCTGGGCCAGTGCTGTGTGCCTTTCCTTTCTGAAATGGAGTGGCTTATCACATCTACAACCACCTTGCTTTAGAGGAGAGGGACCTCCTGCCAAACTTCTAAGCCCATTTCCTGGATTGCATTCTTACTCTATAGGTTCTTGTTGTAGGAACACATCTTTTTCTTTATTTTTTAAAAAACATTTATTTTTTTAATAGAGATAGGGTCTTGTGTTGTCGCCTTGGCTGTAATTCAGTGATACAGTCATAGTTTGCTGTAACTTTTAATTCCCAGGGTCAAATGATCCTTCCATGTAGCTTGGGATTACAGGCACATGCCACTGTGCCCAATCAATTCTTTAATTTTTGGTAGAACCAGGTCTTGCTATGTTTCCCAGGCATGTATCAAACTCCTGGCCTCAAGCAGTCCTCCTGCCTCAGCCTCCCAAAGCGTTGGGATTACTTTTTTTTTTTTTTTGAGTTGGAATCTCACTCTGTCACCCAGGCTGGAGTGCAGTGGCCGCTCCCGGCCACTTCAGCCTTGACCTGCTGGGCTCCGGCAATCCCTCCGCCTCAGCCTTCCAAGTAGCTGGAACAACAGGCGCGCGCTGCCACGCCTGGCTAATTTTTTTTATTTATTGTAGAGATGAGGTCTCGCCAAGTTGCCCAGGCGGGTCTCGAACCCACGGGCTCAGGCAATTCACTCACCTCAGCCTCCCAAAGCGTGGGGATTACAGGCTGAGCCACCAAGCCCAGCCCATTGGGATTACTTTACCAGGTTCCACTTTGCCTGGCCCATTGTTTTCTCTAGTGAAGATAGGTGATCTCATCCTTCTTGGGTTTGATGGTAGCCGTGTACCTGCCAGGCTCCATCTTCCAGTACAGATTCGTTTTTCTTCTTTCAGCTTAGTCCGTGCCTGTTGAATTGCTGAAATCAGGATAATAATACCCCTTGCTTGCCCTTTCACTTTGTGGTCAAATCACTTTATATCTTTTCTCCATCATAGCCTTTGCCACCTCTACCTGCCAGTTTTAGAATTGGTTCAGCAGTGTAAAGGAGTTGGGGTTTTTCACACAGTGAAGGGGTCTATAAATGTAAAGCCACATTTGTGCTCTTTATTCTGAATTGCTTGCCAAGGCATCAATCACAGTGTACTAAAGTTGGGTTTTTATCTTAAATTTTGTCAAGTACTTTTTGCATTTCAAAATAGTTTTATCTGTTCTCTGACTTGCCTGTTACAGAGTTAAACTCTCACTGTTACTTCAGGCATGAAGAAAATGAGACATGGAGAAGTGTTTTGTTCTCTGCTGACTGCCGGTAAAACTAGTCCTGTGCTTCTTGCCTCTTGCTAGAATTTTTATGGCCATTGTAGGTTGGTCTGCCTCTATCTGTTCTCAAATTAGGAAGGGCAGAACACTTGGGGTGAGAGAGAGAAATGAACAGATAACATCAGCATTTTTTCATTGTGTTCTTATAAGTCAGTCAGTAGCACAGAATTTTGCATATGATGACCATTCCACTTGTGTATTTAACTACTACGAAGAGCTCGATGTCAGCACAAGGAGAGGTATTTCACTTTGAAAAGTTTGCTTAAACACTTTTTTTCCTTGTGTTCAGAAGACTTATAAAAGATTAATAGTCCTAGAGTGAGCAGACCCTTATTATCTGATGTATGTGATAGCTTAGAAAAGTGTGGGGGCCACCAGCGACATGGGTATAGCTGATGGGGTTGGGGAGGCTTGACCTAGGTGCAGTACCTTTTAAGATACCTTTGTACTTGTATGTCCTTTCTAAGGGGACATAAAGAGATTTTTCAAAAATGTATGTTTCCTTGAAGTTTTCCATTCAAAAACAATGAAGAACTTATGTCCCATTCGAAATTTGTCACACTTCTGATCAGTCAGCTGAGAAGTGGTTTTCAGGAATCATGAGTGTGTCCTTCTACATCATCTTCGAACAACAGACTGGACAATAAATTACATGTTATTAATGTGGGAGGAAGAGAATGAGACTGCATTGTGGGCTCAAATAGAAAAACACCAGGTGGAAGAAGTCCAACAGATTACTGTTGCACAACATGTATCAGTGAATCTCTAACACATGTTGGTGACTGTTTCACATGTTACTATATGTTAGAAACATGTGAAACATATAGTAAAATTGAATTTTTTTGTCATAAGCTCCTCAGTGCCCATAATTCCATAATAAGCCAAATATCATTACAATAAAATAACTGGTTCCAGTGCTATACTTTTTAATATGAGTAATTCGCTTTTCACAGTTTGTAAAAAAATGTGGCTGAGTTGTAGCAGGTGATCAGAAGGTGTCGCTGAGTGCAGAGGGATATGATGCCACTAACTTCCTTATTTTTCCTGAGCCTTCACTTTAGTCTTTAAATGCCATTGTGTAATATGGCATTTAGAATTTTTCCCATAAAAAACAGGAAGGAGGAACTTGTAGCACAGACCTGCTATGTAGCATGCAGTAGTATCCCACCCAGATGAGCTTTGGGACTCTCTTACCTCATTTTTGACTTGCTTGCTTTCTACTGACGAAGCACAGGTCCTGAGTCCCCAGCCTTCATGTGGATACTGGTAAGGACGGGGGACTGGAGAGGCTGGTGGATTGAGCTGCTCACTGGAATTGTGAGAGCTGGAGCTGTTGTCCTGAAGTCCTTCAGTGTTTTTTCACGTCAGGACTATGGCCAGGACCAAAGT